CCACAGTCATATTACTGTATGTTATTTAGGTCTTCAAATATCACATTCTTGCAAAACATTCAGGTTACATATTCTGACCAACAACTCCAGCTATCCTCAGAAAGTCACTAACAGGACCACGTGTCCAGTACATTCGCGACCACAGTCAGAATCATGTGCAAAAACAATGAAGGACATCGTTATAGTCGGTGGCATTTATGACGGGGATGAGAGTTTACAGACAAGGATTTTCATCATAGCACGCATCAAGCTGAAAGAGGGAAAACATTTTAAATCTGTCCCAAAAATAGAAACCCTTTAAAATGCCATGTACTTCCAATCACAGTCCAAGGACATTCACTCTGCATGAAACAGCACACCTTTACGCACCAAAATATTCCGTTTACAGATTTCAAATGGATTTTGCAGATGCACATTTCTGCGTACGTGAGGATGTGGGGGTCTGAGAATTACTTCTCCAGGAAGTAGAAGCCTCTGAAGAGTCCACACCGTAATTTAGTTACCAGAAGCATTCATTATTTACAGTAAGAGACCTAAAAATGGATCGGCCAGCAAAATGTTTATTCTGGTACACCGCAAGATGAGGGAACACGTCGGATGGGGACCGTGTCATGGTTAAGGGCCATTTCTCACAGAACGGCTGCACTCTGTGTACCAGTCAGGGGGACAGGGAGACTTTCTGCACCTGAGATGCAATTATGAACAGGTGGTAGGGCAGTAAGAATCACAGCCGTTATTGGTTAAGGAGCCAGACTATCCACAATCGCTTGCCATACAGGGGGACCAGCCTCTGGATGTAAAGCTACAGGGATTAAGGAAGTCCGATGTGCAATAAGATGTGAATTTGCATAACAAGTATGTGTAACAGCTGATTAAGAGGACTTACCAAGGAAAAATTAAACTAAAAAGAATGACAGCAGTGCTTAACCTGGTACTTTAAAAAAATCTTCTAAGAACGCAAACTTTTATATCAGCTTAAAGCCCCCTTTACAGTAACTACTGATGTGCCATCGTGTAAATTGCTTTTATGTAGCTGTTGTCTCGGGTGGGGATCGATTTCAGATCTCTGCACTGTGTTGCGTGACCCTGGAATTATAAAGGGTACAATGTCCTCCTTGCATAGGCCCTAACCAGCTATTAAACGCGACTGAGAATGACTGGCATGACACCAGTCCGGCGCCAAATGGGCTCACGATGAAAGGTCAGCGAAACGATGACCTATCTCAATGTCAACAGCAGTGCTGAGAGCCGGGGGAGACTAAGAGCCGGGTTCGTTCCTTCAGAGCACTTCAGATGACGGCGGACGGCCTGACCACTAGCCGGCCTGCGTTTCACCATAGCTAACATGGGATGCAGTCCGACACGCTTAACAGCAGACCTAACACCACAGGGGAAGCAGTGCACCACAGATATACGACACGTTTGCCTGCTGTTTGGACGGAACTCACCTGGGCTTATTAGCCACGCAGGCATTTAATAGGCAGCCACAGAAGAGAAGGCCTGCCTCTTCACCAAGGCAACCTGGCCAGAGGTCCATCTGTTAGTCTCCATGACTACGGTTCAAAAACAATAACTCTGGCTATGCGAAAAGGCTAAGAGTCTACATCTCAGCCAGTGTGCAAGCTGTATCCTAAAGCTTCCTTTCACTTCCCACCCCCCAGTCAAAACAAGCATTTCCTTAAAACACACTACTACAGCAGCTCAGAAAGCCCCCAGAATGGTTGCCGGACCAGCATCCGTCTGGCAACTGTCTCCTGAAAATCTTCTTGCATGGATTTGATTGGTAAATTTCTGAAATGAGGTCACAATGCCTTTTCAGGGCTTATGCAACAATCATGTCAACTTCTTATAAATAGACACAAAGTTAAGTGTGTTACATAAATATTCTTGCGGAGAAGTGAAATCAAATGGCTGACTGAAGACAGAAATGCATGATATTTACCCGACAAGGGGGCAGACTTACTCTACGTCTGGGGTACTGCTAATCCCACCCTCAGAGTCATCAGATAATTAAGCATATGTTGCGCTGGGGGATGGCGGAGTAAATAGGAGAAGCTGGGACAGGTTTCTGAGCAGACCTGAGCAGCCCAAACAAACAAAAACCACAAAGAAGTCCTTCCATTTTCAGTTCATCGAAGCATAATCTGGGGCTTTTAAAGCCCTTATGGTATCGGAGAACCACCCTATAATTTTGGCTGAAAGAACTGAACCCTCACGCTCTGTCCTTAAAATTACGGGGGACAGTGACACGACAGCGTGTTGCCCTGGAGTAGTGTCCGTTACCATGGCTTTGGGCTGCTGCAGTGGGAGTAAGGCTCCAAGACACCGGTAACATGGAACCCCTTACGACATTCTCTGCCCGGAAATCAACCAATTCATAGTCAGAAGCCACAGCCAGAGAATCACTCAATCAATAAATCACTCAACCACTTTCACAGTTTCACTGCCTACAAAGCATTACTGTACTAAAGCAAGAGCGGCTGCCAGCCGGCCGATCAAACTTCATCTAAAGCTCAATGCCAAGCAGTCGATAAATCAAATTTTTCACCATTACACTGCTGGCCTTTCTGCACGGAATTCAAAGTAGCGATTGATCAAACCAAGAGTAGAACGACGACTTTAAAGAGCCCATGAAATCAATGAGCAATGAAGTCAATCAAAATCATTCCGTTCTCCCTTTGCATCTTTTTCTGAAGGACAGGATTCAACCCAAATTATAATACCCAGGTAGAGGAATCTGAGTCTTATTAAACACCAGGAAGGTCTTGGTGAACTGCGAGAGAGTAACTACGATAGAGATACTCCCTAAAAACAAACTGATGCCTTTATATTACATTTCTTCGCAGTGGAAAAACAAGCTGCAAAAATTTGTAGTGATCCGCCATTGTGACTTGATCTGGATTTATCCTGGATTTATTTTTGTTTGTTTGTGTTTCTTTCTCACTCATCAAGCCCCTTGGAAAACATGGCTGCTCATTTGGATTAGATTTTTTTTTATTTATTTGTATAAATTACGTCAGTTGGGTGAGATAAGCGCCAGCAGAGCTGCCGTTTCCCCCATCCGTGCTCTTCCCCGACACTCGTGCCGGGTGCGGGGAGCAGGCTGCGTGAGAATCACACTCTGGAACTCACGTTTTTAATAAATAACCTGGCACCCCCTGGGGGCAGAGGCGAGTAACTGCTCACTGGGCAGAAAAAAAAAAGCTTGTGGCTAATAATGAAAGGAGAAGAGGCCAGAAACTGGCATGTTTACAGGAAGCGTTTCCCCCTATCAATTAAGCTGGAAGAGATTTTGCCTGCTTTGGAGGATGCGGAGGGTGATATTTTGGTTGCAAAAAGGGGAACGGCACGGAAGGCAGCACATGAATATTCCGCATGAGTAATGTTGCACATGCTTATTTTTGACATATTCAGTTTCCAGGGGGATATGCAGCACTTATGATGCAGGGGAACCATCTGTTATTTGTTGCCGGTGTTACAGGGCGAGTGAATTCTGCTCCGGGGGGGGCAGAGGAGTTACGCCCCCAAACACCACTCCTTGTTCTATTCAGCATGCCTGTCAAGGCGAATGCAAATAAGAGCTTTATAATTAATATTTTTTAATCATACTTGAACACACATCTTCTGCTTGACGGGACATTTTGCTGAGTGACTAAACACCATTCGCTGCACAAAGTAACGGTCAGCTTCTTGCCATGTTACATATTTTATTTTCTCTATAAAACACTTCACCCAACACTCGTCTATAAAATGATTTAATTTTGTCATGCATATTCAGTGGGGGTCCGGTATCGGTGGAATCTGTACCTGCGGTTTTGGTTACATGCAGTTTAGCATGATCGGGGGGGGGGGGGGGGGGGGGGAGTAAATAAACTCCAGAAATGGCTCATAAATTTCAAACTGCACATCAAGTGAGTACAGACTGTAAGTCGGTGAGGGGCCATAATAGGCCAAGATATTTAAAAGAAAAAACAACATACATAAATTTCCTCATTACAGGTTATATACAGGTACATGATAATTTTTCAATTTCATATATTCTCTTGAGAATTAGACTAAAACGTCATAATCCCTTTCATTTGAGAGAGTACAGTACTGTACAGTACTGTATAAATGTACAATGTACTTTATTATTACAGTCAACTAACACTGGTAATGTCTTACTTGTGTAATTTATTGATTAAACATCCAGATGTAAGCGCATGAAAATCGCCCTATATATCGCGTCCGTGGATGGTTCGCAATCCACGGTTTCAGCCATCAGCAGCAGGTCTTGGAACGTATCACCCTTGGAAACGGGGGGGTGCGGGAGGGATTACTGTACATTTTTATACCTGCATACTGCTGACTTCCAGCCGGTACTTAAAATCTACCACCTGACTGGCATAATACATTATTTTCTGCGTTTAACTGCACATTGACAGGAAACATTGATATTAAAAAGGCAATCTCCTGTGAAGTCAGGTGAACACAAAACAAAATTCCCAATAATATTGCACTGGAAGGCCAAATGCAAAGGATTATGGGAAGAGCGTTGTGACTCCCCTGCGCACTGCAAAAGCACCTACTGGTAGCTGAGTATGAAGGAGAATGAAAGGCTTCAGTAGGTCCCGACAAAACACACATCACACGCTTGTAGGTCTACTCCACAGACATCAGACTGGCTGATGTGCAAAATTTGAAATTCAAGTTATATAAAAAAAAAAAACATATTTGGGTCAACCCCATATATCAAAGCACACAGCGACAATCCTCAAGATTCATGAAAAATCCCTAGAAATTCTTCCCAACAACTTCCTGTCAATCCAACAGCACTGACTTACAGTACTTGTGCGTCGCCTCCAACCAACCAAATCCAGCCCTCCTGAGTCTCATCAAATCACCCATTAATATTAATCATCCTCATAAGAAAGCTAAGAAACAGTGCTCCATAAATGCCAAGGCAGTCGTATAATCAACAGTTCTGCAAGTTGTGATCTGCCTGAGGCATGAAGACTTACCACTCGGAGCGGCCCTGGTAGCAGGGCCTTCATTGGGCGGGCCGAGGTCACCCCTCAGATCGGCTTTGATCTAGGGATGGATGGTGGAAAAAGGTCAGTGACATGCAAGAGGACCCCGACTACAGCCTCGATCGCAAACACAGCCAACGTCTGGAGATACAGGAACCTCGACAGACAAAAGGGTTTTGTTTTCCTGGACGGATCTTCTCTCCCCTTTGTCCTAAAATGTCTACATTTCTGCAACAATCACCTGCCCTGCATCCAGCTCATTTAAAAATATGTATGTTAACAACAACATCCATGTTCCTGTCTTTGGGAGCAAACCCATCTTTGCTATGATGGATGTCAGTTCAGCCTCTCTCTTAAGAACGTCTTGACTGATGCTATACTGTATAATCAAAGACTCAGGCTTGTGGTTTTGGTATGATTGTCTTCATGCCAGTGTCTTAGAGGTGTGTCGGGAGAAAGTTTTCCTTCAAACCAAAATGACATAGTCAAACACTTTGCTGTGTCCACCCAGGGGCGATCTGCCCCGATGCCCTCCCCAAATCGAAATATCTACGTAACATTTTCAATATTTCACCTCATCTGATGCAACCGTCTGTAGCTCAGCTCTGTTTAGCCCCTAAAATAATGGCCCAGCGCTCGCAGATTTAATTCTCTCCCCATAAACAAAAATCACTGCCACAGATAGCGGAAACGCAGTGAGAGATTTAGCTGCCTCTGACAATCTTATTTCCACCGCATAGTATTAGATTGTTCAACATAGAGGACGGCATCCAATCTTTTCACCTGGAGTGCAATTTATTGCCAAACGGAACATGACTCATTGCTTCCGAATGGAGCAAACACCTGTTTAAGGAGTACATTCTCGGTTAGGGGTCTCTGCACTTAATTCTGTGCATCCAAAAAGGAAAAGGCACTAATAAGCTGAAACGAAAGAATCCAAACGAAGACAGGAGCCAAGCCAAATCTGAATTTCATATTCATGCGGCCGACAGCGTGTTGTGAGGCTGCACAGTCACCTTAAGCACGACGCAGTTCTCCTCCTCTATCTGAACGCAACATGGCAGTTACCCCTAACTGCATACACAAAACATGACTCCAGTTTTCAACCTGCCACAACACTATTGCTATATTCAAGGCAGTGATTCTGGCACCACCCCCCCAATTTCAAAACATATATCTAGGTACTAAAAGAAACATGCAGGCCCGTATGTATAATAATAATAACAATAATAATAATAATTTGTCTTGGCACTGTGCTGGATGGTTAGCATGGGGGCTATGGCTAATCCCGCTCCCCATTAACATAGACGCCCTTCTCCTCAGCTTCCAGAATGTTCCAGAGCATCCCAGCATGAGCTCCCAGCCAATAGGGGAGAGCACCCCTACAGAAGCGGTGCATGAATCAGAAACACGTTCATTAACTGACATGCGGATGTTTCCTGGTTCTTAATGATCAGACAGACAGACTTCATTTTGTTCCCACACAAGTGGTTACAAGTGGACTCATCATTTAGGCATGAAGTCTAATCAAAATGAAAAGCAAAATGAACTTTGGTGACGGTGGTATAGCCTTCACTATAACATTTGAGACTTAGATGCAGTTTAAACACTTGTCCCTATTTAAGTGCCATGTACGCTAATTTGTTTATGTGAAGTTGCTAGGTTTGCAACACAGGATACATCTAACCATTAAGACTGTTTCAAGAAAATTAAACTACTCCCCCCATGAGTGAGATCCCCAGGAATGACAGTACCAAACATACAGTACAAAGATCAAAACCTAATTGTCCGGATGGGATAAAGGCCAACTAGAAACACACACATACAGTTAGAAAATGACACAATTCTCACAGTGCTAATACAGTGAAAAGCATGTGCCAGTGGAGACACGTGTTCCGCAGAAGCGACGACAGAAAGGCAGTCGGTGATGGCAAACTGAGACAGCGAGGGAGCGGAGTCTGACCGAGCCCTGATCTCGGCGCTCAAACGGAGGATGGGGAGCCCCGGCGGAGGGCTTCCGAGTGCGGGCAGGTGGGCTGGCTCCGCCTCCCCTTAACCAGAGCACCTTTTGATTATTTTTAATGACATCTATCCAAATCCCCACTCCACACTTGTTCCAGGAGGTAAAAGTTCAACAGACTATGCCTTGAAACGGTGCATGCAAAGGCAGGGCTTTGAAGGGGGAAGGGGAGTTTAAAATATAGCGTCATCACTTGGAAGATGTGCCCTTATTAAAACAGCATACATAGCATCTTATACATTTTATATTGGCATTTATATATACCTCAGAACTCAAACAAAGTAAAAGTATACAGTGGTACCTCAGTTCTCTTAAAAGTCGAACCAACCAATTCGAAAAAAAAATTACCTAGAACTCGATCTGAATCTCAGAAGTCAAACCGTGAACACCGACCTAAAATAACTTGTATGTGCGGGTAAATGAGTCAGGCGGTATGTCTCTCAGTGGAAACAAAGGGTAACGCTTCACAGTGATAGCATCGTGCATGTTTACACTAGCTGAATACATATATTTAGACAGTAAAAAAACATTTAGACAATGATAGATAGTAACAGTAATTATTATTATATAATAAAATACATTTAAAAATAAGGTTTTCTTATTATTTTAATATTAATAATAAAACATTAATATATTTAATTATAATAATATTCTTGTGCCCAGCATGGACGGAATGGAATGGAGACAAAGGCGCAAACGTCAGGGTATCGGGGATTACGGGGTTTAATTACAGGTAAGGCAGGCAAAACACAGACGGACAATACGATGCCGGACTGGGGAAACAAACTGAAAGGCGGGCGGAATACAGAAGGCTAATGACAACAGCCAGAAACAACTGATTACACGGGGATCCCACACGCTGTTAACGAGGGGGCGTGGCACATGGAAGGAGCGGACGATCGGGACATGACATTGTTTGTTTTTTAACTTTACACATTGTTTGGATACATTTATTTTCTTACTTTAAAAATTACCGTTTTGACAAATGTGCTGGGGGCGGCATGGTGGTGCAGTGCTTAGCACTTTTGCCTCGCACCTCTGGGACCTGGGTTCGAGTCTCCGCCTGGGTCACATGTGCGTGGAGTTTGCATGTTCTCCCCGTGTCGTTGTGGGGTTTCCTCCAGGTACTCTGGTTTCCCCCCCACAGTGCAAAGACATGCTGAGGCTAATTGGCATTGCTAAAATTGCCCTTAGGTGTGCGAGTGTGCGTGAATGGTGTGCAAGTGTGCCCTGCGATGGGTTAGCCCCCCATCCAGGGTTGTTCCCCACCTTGTGCCCATTGCTTCCGGGATAGGCTCCAGACCCCCCACGACGAGTTGGACAATGGATGGACGGATGGATAAATGTGTTTAGTACAGTATATGCTTTTCTTGTTTTGTCCGGTTCATTTTGCGTTTAAATGCTAAAAAAAACATATGTCGGTGTAATTTTTGGGTTCTGAACGGATTAATTTCGAGTTCTGAGGTACCACTGTGTGTGTATATATATATATATATATATATATATACACACACACACATACATGCACACACACACACACAAAGGTGCTCATGTCTTTCTGGGGACAGTTCATTCATTTCCACGGGTAAAACCCTAATCCCAACAATGACAACCCTAACCCCTACACAGCCCTATCCTTAACCAAACAAAATACAAGTCTTATTGGCATTTTAAGTTTTTTGATTATAGCCACAGATTTGTATAAAACTGAATTTCAAAATAAGTTTTTATAACATTGTGGGGACAATGTAATGTATATCTAACACACACATACACACACTGTACATCCAGGAGTAGCACATACACTGAAAAATAAAAACATGCATTTCGCTCGTTTTATTTACTTTGCATTTTTTGATATTCAGTACACACATATAATATTCGTTTCTAGCTAGTGTCCTTTGTTTCTACAGCGCTTACGAAGCCCAGGTCCAGAATTATCCTTAATAATCCTCTCGGGCTATGGGAAACAACATTTAGGCTTGGCCAGTTTTCCCCTCCACGCCCAAATTACAAACAACCGCCGCACTTCGAGCCAAAGGCCTGCACCGAATCCGGGAGCTATGTTTACACTCTTAATTGGTATTCTGGTAAATGTGCAAAACAAACAAAGCATTATAACAAAACCCTAATTTACAATAAGTGACTTAGACTTACGTCAAATTAGGAACACATTTCAGCTGCTTTATTATGGCTATATAAATAGCCCTATAGGCTGTGCTCATATCCCATAAAGAACATCAGGACAGAAGTAGTTGGATCTCTCGGGCAGGGACTGCGACATAACAAATGCAGTGCTGGCATTTTGCAGAACATAAGCTTGACTATTATTGAGTCTTAAGGATTTTATTTGTATTTAAAGCAATAGCACCGTACTGGGAACACTTTCTATCCTGAGCATGGGAAAAATCCACCCATTACTCTTAAAGGCATGTGATACAGACTCCCGGCATTGAGGATATGGCCATTCCAATTGGTCCTAGCAAGAAAGACAGTGAGAGAGACAGCGCCCCCTACTGGGCATCTACATAAACCCATGCAGGATAAATACCTCACCTGCACCCCCATGTTCTGTCGGAACGCTAAGGCCTTCACGGCATCTGTCATGTCCAGCCCAGTCCTACCGAACACACTGGGAGAGGCTGCAAGCGCAGCCCAAGACAGGGAGGTCAGACCCAGGCCGCGAAATGCCTAACGCAAGCCGACGGCCTCCATGGAGAATTGCCCGTCTCCGCTGCTGCGAGTCGCTCAAAGTGTCGTGCGGCCTTGAGGCGACCGCGTGCTGAAAAAGGGGCAGGAGGAGCTCATCACTCAACAAGTAAAGCATTGCGCTAACAACGCAGGGGCTGTGGGTTCGAATGCCATGGTGCTCACATTAAGAAAAACTGTTAACTTTATTATAAGGGGACTTTAAGTGGGTAGAATGAGGGGCAACTCAGGCTGCAGAATCAACAAGGAGTGGCACTGACAACATGCAAAAACTGCACCGAAAGGAGAGAAAAAAGAATGTATGGGGGAGTAATACAAGACAATGTTACTAC